TACAGATGACAAAGAGATGAGTGGCGATAGGGTTACTGTGAAGAAAGTTGCCAGGAGGAGAAAAAGCAGCACCAGTTCTTAAAGACCAGAGAGCTTGCTTCTTCTCTTATCATACAACTCAAGTCTATTATTTTTAGCCAATATTAAATCTTTGTGTAAATTTTCATCATCATTGAGAATCATTCCATCAATGATGATATGAAATATAGAGTGAGGAGATCAATGCTATGCATCGGGCTATTTATGTCTGAATTATGATTTCATACTGACATGTTAAAGATGAAAGTACATTTATTATACAATTAAAACCAAAACTTTCCACAAGGAGTTCACGGCTAGCACCAAAAATTGTTTCTAAAGAGGCTGCTTTGTCCTCAGAAACAACAAGTTCTCAGATTCGTAAGAGACTCTGCTTTATTTCATGGCTGGCCATGAGCTTTCCATGCTGATGAGAGATCATCCACAGCTTCACCTACTGTTGGATAAAGTCCACTCAGCCCCAGTTATTCAATGATTTTGGACTTGTGTAGCTTTTCCATAACACTCCCCACAGGATTCACCAGCACAAGCTTTGAACAAATGTAAACATTCAGTTACCTTCATTTTTTTTCTTTCTCTCATAGGTAATGATCTTAATTTGTTTTCAGTTAAGAGGTCTAACCTGAAGTGGTTGTTTCTCCAGCCTCATCCTTAGTTCAAAGACAGCTTCAAGCCCGCTTGTGTCTATGGACGAAACAGCTGAAACCATTCCAAAATAAGAATGTATAAGTAAAGAAAAAGAGTCAAAAACTCATGATCGAAGTGATATATCATGAGTTTTATGGTTTTTAACCATAGTATAAGTTCTTTTTATTGAGTCTTTTTGGACTTTTTAGAGTCCTAGTATAGTCTTTGCAGGTTATAGTATGTCTGGAGCATAATTGGAGATATTGAAGCTTTTTGGAGCATTGCAAGATGGAGCCACAAAGTGTGCAACTCGAGGAGAAAAGTATGGACTTGGGTGACGCTCGTCACCACCTATGGTGACGCTCATCACCACCTATGGTGACGCTCATCACCCGTAGAGGAAGGCTCGTGCCTGTTTTATTAAAAGTTTGAAGATTATTTGCAGAATTGACCCAAAAGTTCCAGTATTTATAAGAACACTCCAGATCGTGTTTTAACTTGTATATATAAGGTTTTCAACCATTGTTGGCTTTTATCTTAGTTTTTAGAATTCAAAGAGCTTTAGAGAGGATTTTATTCCGAGCTTTTGGGGAGACAGATTATGTACTCTTTTTGGAGAAGATCTCGAACCCTCTTTGTTTTTATTCTATTCTCTTAATGCAATTTTATTCAGTTATGTTTTGTGATTCCATGATCATGTCTGAGTAATTTGCTAGTTAAGTTAGAGCTTTTCAAAGGTTGATGAAGAGTTTGTAAAATTGCTATCTTTTAGGATTATCTTTTGGTTCTTCATCTCTGCTTGCTTTAAAATCAAATTTCTTAGAAACTTCATCTAGAAATCATAAAATCATAGGTTTTTTAATAGATGTGAGAGCATTATTGATAACCTGATCTAGCATTAAATGAGCAAAAAAACTTAGTGCAAAGAGATTTGGCTTAGGAGTTTTGTGAACAATTAAAGTTGATCATTACTGCATGTTTATGTTGTTAGGATTTTCAAAGAGATTGAAACTCTATGATTTAGACATAGATAACTTCTGCAATGAGAACTGATTAGTTATATATTTGTGATTCATGTTCACGACGATTCTTAATCATTCCTGATTTCATGCATTCTACATTCTCAGAGTCAACCTGCGAACTGTCCTGGCTTAGCGCTTTTAGTCTCCTGAAACTTAGATTAACAACCAAATTTCGTTTGCTATCTCTTATTTTGTTATTTCTCATTACATACACTATATATTGCTTAGCTTAATCTGAATATGAATTCGCTAGTGTAGTTTACATACTCCTTTGGGATTCAATAACCCCTTATACTACAACTGCTTTGCTGTGCACTTGGAGTAGTTTTATTTGGGTAAAACATGAGCCCTATCAAGTTTTTGGCACCGTTTCCGGGGAGTAATAGCTGCCTATCGATTTTTAGTATTAGGATTTTATCGAAGTTCTTACTTATTTACTGACTTTTGCTACTTTTCTTTGTGCTGGTTTCATGTGTATGCCTAATCGCAGTACCAGAAGCAACAAAGAGAAGGAGCTTTTGACCTTAGGCATTGACGAGCTAGCTAAGTTAGAGAGGACCATCAGGAAAGCTAAGAAGTAATCTACAATGGTTAATCCACTGATCTTGGTTGAAGATACAGAAGGTCACTTGGTTGATAGAGAGGGAGATAGAAGGAATGAAGAAGGGCAGAGACTGAATCAAGATGGGAATGTCATAGTTGAACAGCTGGTTCAACATGTGGCAAAAGATGGTGGAGGTCCTGCTGAAGCTGCTGGAAACGCTGTTGGGCGTTTTGTTCAGAGGACTCTAGGAGATTACAACAGACCTGACCAGTTCTATGCCAACAGAGCTGCAATTCGTCCTCCTGTTTTCCAGAGGAATGATTTTGAGCTTAAGCCTGCTTATTATCAGCTGGTGGGACAGCATCCTTTCCATGGCTTACCTCATAAGCATCCCATGGATCTTATTGAGAGGTTTGAGGATTTAGCTTCAAGTTTCAAAGCTAATAGAGTTAGCAATGACTTCATGTTCTGCAAGTTGTTTCCTTACTCTCTTGGAGGAGATGCTGCTTATTGGCTGAAGCAACTAGAGCCTGGTTCGCTGACCACTTGGGAGGACACCAAAAATGCTTTTCTGAACAATTTTTATGATGATGCTAGATCAGAGGACCTGAGGACGAAAATTGCATCAGTCTCCCAAGGTCCTACTGAAGCTTTTAAAGCTTTTTGGTTGAGATTCAAGTCTTATCAAAGGGACTGTCCTCATCATGGCTTCAAAAGGGTGCAGCTGCTTGATATCTTCTTCAGAGGCATTGACTGGAAGTATCAGATGGCGTTGAATGCCGCTAGTAATGAGAACTTCAACACAAACCTTCCTGATGAAGCAATCAGATTGATTGAAAACTTGGCCTGCAGTAACAGCACCAAGAATGCAGATTTTCAGAGGATGAAACATGGTGGTTTGAGTGAAAGAAACCAAATAGCTGAGGTTAAGGCTAAGTTAGACAGTATGCACAGCCTACTGGTGGGAAAGAAATCAGTCCAATTTGTTGCAGAGGTGGAGACTTTCTAAAATTCTGAAGAATTTGAGCAAAAGGATGTTAATTTCACTAATGAAGGTTTTCAGAACCAAATGTTTGAGAATTAGCAATGGAACAGAGGATTTAATGGCAATAATCAGAAGAGCACCTTCACAGGAAACCATAATACAACTGGTTATACTCTAATGCTATAGTTCCAGAAGACTGGAGTTGAGAAAACTTACCAAAACAGCAGGAATTATGGTTTTTCTTCCTACCAATATGCACATCCACAAGACAATAAGATGGAAGCTATGCTGGAGCAGATACTTGAAGGACAGCAGAAGATGACAGTGGACTTCAATGGCAAGATGGATTCGCTGTATCAAGACGTGAATGGAAAATTTGAGAGTTTGAACTCTCACATGAAGAAGCTTGATGTGCAGGTTGCTTAAACTGCAGGAGCTGTTCAAAGGCAAGAAGGATTCCTTCCTGGAAGTACTGATATCAATCTCAAGCACCAGGTTAATACCGTCACAATTAGGAGTGAAAATGAGCTTGAAACAATACAGAGAAAGAGGCTGAGTGCAGAGCAAATCGTGCAACAGATGGAGTTTGAAGATAAAAATTTTGCAGTCTTAGAGTCTAGTGACGAGCGTCACCAAGGTGGGTGTCGCTCGTCACCCATTGAGTAGGGTCCCGACACGATTTCGTCCCAGATCAGTGACGATCGTCACCACCCTGGTGACGGTCGTCACCAACCCTAGAACGAGACTGCTTTGCCTATAACTGCAGATAATGGTCAGGAACGAGTCTATAAATCCAAGATACCATTCCTCAAGCATCCTAGGAAGTCTAAACAGGAGATAGAGGAAGCTACATGCAAAGCTATGATAGACAATCTGAAACTTGAGATTCCTCTTGTTGATGCAGTTAAGCTTTCACTTCCTTTAAGAAGGTATGTTAAGAGAATGGTTGTGAATGGTGTAAGCCTTGAGGAAAGAGCATTGCTTACCAGAGACATTAGTGCAATCCTTTTAGGCACAGTTCCAAAGAAGAAGAAAAAGGTGTCTATTTATGAACAAGTCAGTGTCATCATTCAAAGCAGAATTCCAGAGAAGCTTTCTGATCCAGTGACCTTTGTGCTTGATTGCTCAATCTCAGCAGGACGTTTTTCTCATTCTCTTTGTGATATAGGATCAAATATCAACTTGATGCCGTCCTCTGTTGCTGCTAGACTTGTTCAAGACGGTTCTTACTCATTCCTGATTTCATCCATTCTATATTCTCAGATTCAACCTGCGAACTGTCCTAGCTTAGCGCTTTTAGTCTCCTGTAACTTAGATCAACAACCAAATTTCGTTTGCTATCTCTTAGTTTGTTATTTCGCATTACATACACTATCTATTGCTTAGCTTAATCTGAATCTGAATTCGCTAGTGTAGTTTACATACTCCTTTAGGATTTGATAACCCCTTATACTACAACTACTTTACTGTGCACTTGCAGCAGTTTTATTTGGGTAAAACCTGAGCCCTATCATGCAATAGTCTCAGATTGAGAACAGAAGTTACCTGTCATGTCAAGAATCATGCATTTGAAAGTACTGTCATTGTTTTCCTTTATTCAATTTTCCTCTTCCCTGGTCTATCTCAAGATCTACAGAACCATAAACTCATTTCCATAAGAACAAACGCAAAACCATATCAAGAAGAAAACAAGTTATCTAGTACTGAAGGGAGATATTTTAACTAACCTTTCTTGCAGGTAAGTGTTATTGACGAAGTATATTTAGAGATTCGACAGCAAGAATTAGGAAACCAGGGATTCTTGAGGCTCCTCTATATCTTTCAAGGCTCTGATATATCTGATCCAAATTCTAAAGTGTTTGGCCTGGTTACATGCAACAAGATCTTGAGGACCGAAACTCCCACCTGCAACAAGAAGGTATCAAACTTAGAATAACAAAACAACCTGATAATTTTGGAAAACAAGAACCATGAAGAGTTTGTTCTGTACTCACTGCTACTGCTAGGCCAAGAGGTACAGACACGAAGAGAATGCCAAAAAAAGAACACATTCAAGTGAAGAAATCAAATTTGTCGACTTTCCAGAACTTGTAAGCCGCTTGATAATCAAGCAGACCTATCACGGCGGTTAAAATGATGGCGGCTAGGATCAAATTAGGAGTGTAGTAGAAGAGTGGCATCAGGAACAAAAGGGTCACAAGAACAGCCGAGGCCATCACAATGTTAAAAACCGCGGTTTTTGCTCCAGTATTGTAGCTTACGGCAGACCGAGAGAAAGACCCTGAAAGAAAAAAAAAAGAAAAAAAAGTGGAGTCAAAAACATTGTTCCTTGAGCCACAAGGTGAATGGAGATTAGTAATCAAGTTAGATTTTAACCTGTTGTGACATAGCAAGACGTGCAAGAACAAACCATGTTCATAAAACCTATAGCCATCATTTCTTTGTTCCCATTAACTTAATAGTTCTTGAGAGATGCAAACGTTCTCCCTACAGCAATCCCTTCCTGAAAAAAATCACATTCAGGTCCAAAAGTTAATCACTTAAAACTCTGAGATTTACAAATAAGCCAGAGATTTTGGAAAGCTTACTGTAAGAGAAAGGATCCCGGTGATGATACCGGTCTTGATGGCAAGAGCAAGATGAGTACTACTGAAGTACAACATGTTTGATGAAGGTGGATTCAAACCCTTTGGTAAATGTCCAATCTGCATTAAAGATCGAATCTCTTTTAGTCTAAGTTTTCTCAATCTCAGTTTAAACAATAACACAAAACAAACAAAATATGTTCTTACAGAAGAGATGGCGTGAGTCTTGGATCTGATGAGGTACACAAGCAGAGTTGAGATAGCAACTGATGCTAAAGGTGATGCAGCTGATATTTAGAAAAGTTTTGGCTTCCTCATGCTTTATACATTCGCAAAAATACAATAAATTAACAAGAAAATGTTATATATATGATTGCGGTTAATCGTTATTAGAAAATGCCTTGAGGGTTTTTGCAAAGTGCTTACAATGTGTCTTGTGGTTAAGAGAATGCTCAAGAAGCAAAGCCCCATCAGAATAGTCTCCCAAGACCACTGAAATTGTAGTAAGTAACATTATTATATAAAAATCTTTATTAGTGTTTAAAGAGGACAGTACAAATTTTATATCAAAAATTTATCATATCTTTAAAATTTTGAATCTATTAAAATCTTATTTTTTCTTTAAAAGAATCTAAGATAAGTTAAAAAAAATCAATAAATTCTGTACAATTATAAAATTAAGAATAAATATTTCCAAATTAGATTAATAATCTATTCTATTTTAATCTTTATATCTTTTTCTGAAAATTCTAAAATTCTCAGAAAATTTCAGAAAATAACAATATAACTAGGTATATTTATATTGAAATAATTATTATTTATTTAAATTTAGTATAATATTTGTGTATATAATTAATTACTTTTAACTCTTAAATAAAAATTAAATATTATTATTTAAATAGTTTGTTACGTATCCACTATATCAAATGAATTAAAAAAACATAATTTTTATATTTTTAATTTGAAAAATAATAATTATATCCATAAATTATCTCTTTGTAAAAGAAAAGAATAATTATTGACTCCAAAAACTTTTAATCAAAAAATATTATCTAAAATATAATAATAAAGCATAATTGAATATATGATAAATAGTAAGTTGGAAGTATAATGTATACATAATAAAGCGGAATACTAAATTTAAGATGTAATATGGTTAGAATTTTGATGCGTCTTTGCTATATTAAAAATAACGTGACAAATTAAATTTATTATAATTAGCATTTATAAAAATATTGATGTTTATCCATCTTAAACATTATTTTTTTATTTCAAATAAGTTTTAAACATTGATGACTTATTAGGCAAAAGTGTTACTATCATTTCTACTTGAAATCTTTGAATATATATATATATATATATATATATAAATTAACAAAATAAATTTAAATTAATATATTACTTATATCTAAATTAGATTACTGAATGCGCCATAAATTAAATTACTTATATTATTAACATATATTAAACACAATAAATTTCATTTTGATCAAAATTATTAATAAAGTCTCAGTTAGCACATAATTATATTATATTAAATACTATATACTTTTTATTGTATACTATATTTTGTAAATAGTCTAAATTATGAGCTAATTAAGAATTTACTTTTGGAAATTGCCAATTAAATCATATTAAAATTATTTACTTTTATATATAATGACTATAATGAACTCAAATTTTAATCAACTTTTATAAATTTTCAGGCACCTGAATTTAATAAATTTTGAGTGTACTTAAATTATTTGGATGAAAATAGGTAAAAATATATAATTTGAAAAGTTAAATAGAGCATGTATAGTATAGGAGGCTGTAAATAACGTATGTAATGCGAAATAACAAAATAAAAGAAAGCAGGTGAAATTTGTTATGATCTAAGACTCAGAAAACTAAATGCGCTAAGTCGAGACAATTCGTAGGTTGAATCCGAGAATGTAGAATGCATGAAATCAGGAATAAATAAGAACTATCTTGAACATGAATCGCAAATATATAACCAATCAATTCTCATTGCAGAAGTTAACTATGTCTAAATCACAGAGTTTCAAATCTCTTTGCAAACTAATAACCTAAACATGCAGTAATGATCATGTTCAATTGTTCACGAAACTCCTAAGCCAAATCTCTTTGCACTAAATCATTTTGCTCATCTAATGCTAGATCAGGTTATCAATAATGCTCTCACATCTATTAAAAAAACATATGATTCTCGGAATTCTTGATGATGTGTCTAAGAAATCGGTTTTAAAACAAGCAGAGATGAAGAACCAAAAGATATTCCTAACAAATAGCAATTCTACAAACTCTTCACCAACCTTTGAAAAGCCGTAACTTAACTATAAAATTACTCAGACATGATCATGGAATCATAAAGCATAGCTGGATAATATTGCATTGAAAGAATATAATAATAGATAAAAGGGTTCGAAATCTTCTCCAAAAAGAGTACATGATCTGTCTCCCCAAAAACTATGGATAAAATCCTCTCTAAAGCTCTCTAAATTCTAAAGTCTAAGATAAAAGCCAACAATAGCTGAAAACCTAATATATACAAGCTAAAACACGAGCTGGGACATTCTTACAAATACTGGAACTTCTGGGCTAATTCTGCAAATAATTCTCCATCTTTTAGAAAACCAGCCGCGACTCCTTCCTCTACGGATGACGAGCGTCACCCAAGCCATCATCCGCCTTCCGAGTTGCACACTTCGTAGCTTCATCTTGCAATGCTCCAAAAAGCTTTAATATCTCCAATTATGCTCCAGACATGATATAACATGTAAAGACTCTATTAGGTTTCTAAAAAGACCAAAAGACTAAATAAAATAGACTTCTACCATGATAAAAAATCATAAAAACCATGAGATATCACGGCAACCAACCCATAATGGAGTGTTTCAAAAAAAGAAAACTAATAAAAATGTTGGGCCGCAAGCCCAAAGCGGTTATGCATCTCTGCTTAGTAGTCAAGTTACATGGTGAAACTGTCTTCTTTTACAACCAATTAAAGCTACCGAATTGATCAATTTGACGTAAAGATTATATTTGTTATTTTTTGTTGTCTTTGTTTTGTAACTCTTTTTAATCTTCTTTTCATATTTTTCAATTTTTTATATTGACGAAAATCAGATTTAGCTACCAGTTTCTATTTAGAAACTTAGATAATAAGAATTTAGTAAAAGTTTATTAAAAAATAAGAAAAAGATTATGTTATCCTAACTTTAAATATTGTTTTTTCACATTAATAAATAAAAAGATTCATTTATAAACTTAGACACAGCACTGGCGGTAGAGGAGGCAGCTATGAATGAGTATATACTTTCGATCGTAACCTGGTGGAATCCTGGTTATACCAGCATCATTTTTGTACATGGTTTGACCGAACCGCAATGTGATAATTTATTTCCACTTTAAAATTGAGTAGTCATAGATCTCTTAACGAGCTCTTTATCCTATCAGATTCCTCTCCATATGGGAATTTGGCCGAAAACTGGACCGGAAAGTTGACAGCGTAATCGACAAGATCTCCTAAATCCTTCGATGAAAATGAAATAGTTAAGGTAAAGTGAGAAAAAAAAACTTACATAAGTACATGATTATATTGTATTTTACGGTTGATTTTTAGATTTTATGTAATAAATGGACAACTTGATCACTGGCCTATTAAACAATTTGTGAGTACTATGTATTTACCCGCGCTATGCTGCAGGATATTTATTTAGATTTGTATATATTTTTAATATAATAAAATTATTTATATAATTTAAATGATTATTTTTTTATTTTTTATTAGCTTAAATTATGTATTTATATGTTTTAAATCTGAATAAACATTATATATCATTAATTTCTTATTTTTTTAAATTATAATCTACTAACAAATTTGTTTAACTAACTATCTATAAATGTATATGTAAGAAGAAAATAATACATTTTTAAGTACCTTCAAGCTAATGATAGATGTAATTTATTTTCTCTACTAAATTGCAACTTGATCCTCCTTTGAAATTATATAAAGCAAATTGTCATTTAAAAAAATATTAATTAATATAATTATTTTAAATTTATAAAATTTCTTTATTTATCAAATATTTATTATAGACATATGTTTCTAAAACTACCAAACTATAATCAATAACATTCATATCAAAACCATTACTATTACTTTAGAGCTAAATAGAAAGTTCTATCTGAACTGTTGAAATATAAATTTAGTTGGAGTTAAATAATTCAATTTTGGTTACTATAAATATATTATGACTTAAAAATTTAGCACAGAGAAATTTTATCTTTTTACAAAAACCGAGATATTGTATTTTCTGACAAAAAAAAAATAATTCCCATAAAACTGAGAAATCGCCTATTCCTGCCAAAACAAAAAAAAAATTATTTTCTCATCAAACCTGAAATTCCATTTTCCTACTAAAACAAAGAAATTGCATTTCCCCTCAATAACCATAAAATCACATTTTCTCGCGAGAACCTGTGTTTTTCCGTCAAAACAGAGAAATCAAGTTTTTTTCACCAAAACCAAAAAAATTCATCTTCCTGCTAAAACCAAAAAAATAGTATTTTTCCGTCAAAACCAAAAAATTATTTTCTCGCAAAAATCGATAAATCGTCTATTCCCACCAAAACAAGAAAAAATTATTTTTCTAGTCAAGTCAAGAATCACGCCTTCCTACCAAAACCGATAAACTACAATTTTCTGCGAAAACCAAAAATTGTATTATCTCCTCAGAAATTACGTTTTCCACGAAAACTAAGAAATCATATTTTCCCTCGAAAGCCAAAAATCAAATTATATGTCAAAAACTAAAAATATGTATTTTCCATTTAAACCAAGAAATTGTTTATTCCTACCAAAATCGAGAAATTTTGTTTTTCTATCAACCCGAGAAATTGCAACTCCAAAATTGTCAACTTACAAATTTTTCCGCAAAAATCAAGAAATTACATTATCCATCAAAAGCCAAAAAATTGCATTTTCTGTCGAAACCGAAAAATCGTATTTTTCGTCAAAATTGAAAAATTGCATTTCCCTCGCATTTTCTCGTCAAAATCAAATTTTTTATTTCTCACCAAAACTAAAATTTCACATTTTTCCGCCAAACCCGAGAATTTGTTTTTTTCCGCCATAACCGAGAAACTATGTTTTCCTACCAAAACTGAAAATCACATTTTTCTACCAAAACCAAGAAATTCTCTATTCCCGCAAAACCCAAGAAAATTTGTTTTCGGTAACCAGTGGAAATGCGAATCTCCTAGCTGTGGTGGTCTGAGTTTCTCCTCATTTGCTTTCGCCTTCTATTTTTTTGTAAACTTTGGGTTTTTTAATGGGTCAGCAAAATAGTAAACTGATTTTATTAGTGTGTTAATAATATGTATTATTGTTATGTTTTTATTGGTTCAAATTTTTGCTGATATGTGAGCTTCTTATAACATAACGCTTTTTGCATTGTTGTTATGGAAGCATAGTTGATGATGAGTCTACAATTTCTTCAATCATATACG